TGGTGTAACTTAGGAGTGATCGAAGAAGTTAAAGAAAATATTGCGGTTGACTATGGACATTATTTACCGCATAGACCGGTGATCAAAGAAAATAGCTCAACACCAATTCGACCGGTGTTTGATGCGTCTGCGAGGAAACAATCGTCTCCTTCTCTAAATCAGTGTTTGGAGTGTGGACCAAATTTGATAGAACTAATTCCATCTCTTTTGTTGAGATTTCGGGAAGGCAAGTTTGCTGCTATAGCAGACATTGAAAAGGCTTTCTTACAGATCAGTGTAAGGCCTCAAGATAGAGACTGGCTTCGGTTTTTCTGGTGGAATGATGTGGAAGAAAGGAAAACGAAAATATTTCGTCATACTAGGGTAGTATTTGGGGTTAAGAGTAGTCCTTTCCTTTTGGCAGCTGTTATAGAATTCCATCTACAAAAGTACATGAAAAATTCTTCATATGATACGGAGATAATAGCTAAACTCTTGCGTAGCTTCTACGTAGATAACGTTGTTGCCAGTTTTGACAAAGAATCCGAGATGATCCAGTTTCATCGAAAAATCTCGAGAAATAATGTATGAAGGAAAGTTTAATCTTCGAGGTTGGTTACATAACGGAGATAACTTGAAACAGGAAACTATTTCACCCGTATTGGGTCTGTTATGGAACTCTCAGAAAGATAATTTAACTTTGAATCTGAATTGGCTAGAAGATTTTGAAATGGGTATAATAACGAAGAGAACAATTCTCGCTGTAACACACAAAATATTTGATCCTATTGGTATTGTGAGTCCTGTTCTCTTGTATCCTAAAGTATTGTTGCAGAACCTATGGAAAACAGGAATTTCTTGGGATACTGAAGTCGACGAGAGTACAAAACAAAATTTTGTGAATTGGTATATAAAAGCCTTTTTCTCTTAAAAGAAATATCCCTCCTACGTTGGATACATTCCAGCAAGGACAATAGGAAGTTCTGCAGCATTCACACATTCTGTGATGCCAGTAGTAATGCGTATGCTGCTGCAGTTTTCTTGAGAACTGTGACGAATTCTGGAGTTGAAGTTCATCTGTTGGCATCGAAGTCTAGAGTAGCTCCCGTGAAATCTATTACGATCCCTCGTCTGGAATTGATAGCTGCCACGATAGGTGCCAGACTATGCTCTTCTGTTTTAAATGGTTTACAATGGCAAAATGTGGAAACGCATTTTTGGACGGATTCTACAACAGTTTTGACATGGATTCAAAGGGAAGAGATTGTCTGGGCTGTCTTTGTGGAAAACAGAGTCAGGGAGATTAGGAAACTGACGGATCCAAAAACGTGGAAACATATTGCTGGAACAAAAAATCCAGCTGACCTCCCATCAAGAGGTTGCACCGCCAAACAACTTTTAGTAGTTAGATGGTGGGAGGGCCCCGACTGGCTGAAGAAAAATCAGGAAGAATGGCCTAGACAAAGGGAAATACCGGACATGGAAATAGTGAATTCAGAAAAAAGGAAATCAGTCATTTCTGCACTAAATACGCAAAGGGTAGAACATTTTTTTGAGAAATATTCATCTTACCATAAAATGTTAAGAATAACTGCTTGGATATGCAGATTTATCAACAACTGCAGAAGACCAGATTCTAAACAATCAGGAGAACTCACGGTCCCTGAAATAGAAACTGTAGAAAAGAAAATATGCAAGATAATACAAATAGAAGCATTTGGCAAAGAACTTAAAGTTAGCAACCTTTGTACCTTTTTTGACTCAGATGGCCTTATTCGGTTAAAGACCAAGATTACTAGAAGAGAGGAAGAAGAAAATTTTCTCTGTCCAATTGTATTGCCCTCAAATCATGACTTAGTTCATAGGTTAATTTTAGATTACCATTTGCGACTATCCCACGCTGGTGTGCAATTCGTACTAGCCAATATTCGACAGAAATTCTGGGTCCTGAGAGGAAGAAAAACAGTACGTAAAGTTCTTATGAAGTGTGTTCGCTGTAGAAGATATAGCGCAAAGAATATAGAGACTGTTCCAGCACCTCTTCCTGAAGATCGAGTTCGAGATGCTCTGGTGTTTGAAGTGACCGGAGTCGATGTAGCCGGTCCTCTTTATTTAACGAAAAGGAAAAAAGGCATGGATCTTGCTCTTTACTTGCGCAGTCTATCGCGCGATACATCTTGAGCTGATAGAAAGTTTATCAACAAATGCGTTCATCTTGGGATTAAGGAGATTTATTGCCAGAAGAGGTCGTCCAAGTATTATTTACAGCGACAATGGCACTAATTTCGTTGGAACTGAAAATCTGTTAAGATCGATAGATTGGAAAGAAATAGAATGTCATTCAACTAGTATGAGAATACAGTGGAAGTTTAATCCCCCAACTGCTTCATGGTGGGGCGGTTGGTGGGAGAGGTTGGTACAAACAGTGAAGAAGATGTTGAGAAATGTTCTCGGCAAGTCCTGTGTCTCTTACGAGGAAATGTTGACTATACTTTGTGATATCGAATCAGTGATTAACTCAAGACCCCTTACGTACCTTTCAGAAGATCCAAATGATCTTACGGCACTAACTCCTTCAATGTTTCTACAAGATGTGCACGACGTCGGAGTACCAGACTTAGACTACCTGGATACCATCAATCTGACAAAAAGATACAAGTTCTTGCAGAACTTAAGAGAACATTTTCGCAAAAGATTTCGTGATGAATATTTAGCTATCCTAGTGCAAAAACCATCTAAACGATCTACTCGGACTATCAACAAAAATGACTTGGTGTTTGTCGGCAGCGACAACAAGAAGAGAATAGATTGGCCAATAGGTCGTGTTGTAGAACTATATCCTGGGAAAGACAACGAAGTACGTGTTGTCAAAGTGAAAACTGCAACGGGTGAACTCCTAAGACCTGTGAAACGTATTTATCCTCTCGAACTTGATAGACCTAACTTGTTTAGTGACTTCACCATGAACAGAAAAAACTCTGCCGATAAGTGTGACAGTGATATGAACTATCAAACTAGATATGGACGTAAAAACTGTAAAACCTGTTACATATTTTTAAATTGCTATACTAATTTTTGTTTCTTTTCAGTATTTTAGAAATTTAATTGTCCTAACAGTAGTCAATTGGAACATGTTATCTGGATATGGTATGAATGTAATGCAGAAAATGTTTAGATGTGTAATCCTTCTTTGTAAGTATTAATTTTAGAGCATTTGTTACTTTTCATATTTGTGAAAGTTGTACTTGAATTTTTGTTTGATTATTGATAAATTTTGTTTTGATTTTCCCATCTTATCGAGGTAAAATCAAAAGGTGGGAGGATGTCACATTCTTGCCACTAGGTGGCGGGCATCTCTTCCTTTACTTTTGCTGTAATTAAGTTCCGAGAACCAGTAGAGATTGGAACCGCTCGGAGGAGCGTAAAGACTCAGAACTAAAAATGTACTGTCTTAAAATAGTTATCACCTACCTTGTAAATAGTGTATATTAGCTTTTTATTTCAATAAATAATTAAAAGACAAGATGGCTTGTTAGCAGTAATAGAAACTCTTACTGAAAACGTGATTATTAGAAGCTTGGCGTCGTGAACACTGAAGATGCAGCAGGTAAGGAATTTTACATTAATTTTATTGTAAATAGAAGAACCTGATGCAACACCTGGGTTGGGAGAAATCATCATCCGCCACCCTTTTAATTTGGGCGCCACTGTAGAGACATTAGGATTTTTGGAAGCCGGAGAGATGAAACAGTAGCAACGTCTTCGCCGGGAATCGAACCATGGACCTCTCCGGCTCATCGAATACCGGCTAAATGTGCTGACCACTATACCACGAAGGCACGGTAGGAAAGCGGGGGAAATACTTTATAACTTAATGAATATCTCGGATCTGCTCGTAGAGCATATAGAAGATATATAGAAGTCTAAAGCAGTAATCTTTGAGCAGAAAGCTCTCTCAAATAGATGAAAAATCCCTATCCAACTGATTAATAGCAGCTCACCTCTTATATAAAGTTCCTCAAGGGAAAAAGTAAGCATTTCTGGAAGTTTAATGAGAAATCGCTAGTAGAATAAAATAAATCGAATAAAACATGTTAGTATCGAATAAAACACTTTTCGAAATTTCCAAAATGCTATAAACATCGTCAAGATACCAAAATCACCGCCATTATCTTATAGGAAGGTATATCGCCGGTTCTACTTGAGCCAATTTCTTGCAATTCCAAAGTCAATCGACTCCGAATTATGAAGACCATATACGAACTAACTACACACAAAATAGAAAAATTGACTCCAAATTAAAATCAGATTAAATATACGATAAACAAACATTCAGTAGCTGTACAAAAATTACTAAAAATATATATAAACAAATGATAAAAACAACAAAAACAAATACACAACAAATTAAAAAGAATGAATATATATAGCCAAAACATTCAATACTTAAAGTCGAAAATTCAATACCTAGAACCGAAAATAGCTGAAAAATAACATAAATTTACAAAAATTTATTTTCCACGTATTTTTAGCATTTCTTTAATTAAACTGACAGAAAATGCTCACGAAGTTATTACATGAGTATTTATTTGCAGCAGAAAAAAAGAAAAATGTTATTAAATATTTTATTTACGTTTTTAATAATTTTCTATGCAACTTACAGACGCAAAATTAAAACTACGTTTTTTTCAAAGGCTTGTTAATGAGAGAATTTTCGCTAGCATCAAATAAAATCAAGTATTATATCTAATTATAAAATATGAACATTTATTGTGAAAACAATAAAAAGGCTTTAATTATATAAAAATAAAGGATTTTGTAAATTGGCAACATATGGCAGACCAAGAACTCATGCGAATTAAAGCTTCAAAGGACTGAATGACTATTAGAAATGCTTTTTTTACAATTTAAAAATTTTCTGATTAAACTTTCTAACCGCAATTCCACGTGTTATAATTTTTCTATTTTTAGAAACTAATGATAATACACAGAATAAACATTAAATGTAATATTTCACTTACCCTCGTGTTATCGAAGCTGGATTTATTTGTAACATCATACAGAAGAAGCAGAGCTGAAAAAGATACAAAATAATCTAAATTAGTATCTTTCTGCATTAAACAACATAAATCTTAATCTACAAATAATACAATTTCAAATTTTTGTAATTATGTAAATCCTTAATATGCATATAAATAGTTAGCAAAATTATTGCTGATATATTTGTAAATGATGATCATATGACGCATCTGTATCCCCTTCTCTTCCCGTTTACAACACATATTATTTTCTTATTTTCAAAAAATTCCCCTTGTGATTTTATTAAAACGAACCTTCTTATTTAATTAGGAGTAACTTTCAACATTAAAATTAATTTAACTAATTAATGAAAGAAAATATCAATTAATAAGACACGCTTGGGAATTTCCATTCCTTATCATAAAATATTCCGGAAAGGTTTTCTTGCATTCCGTTAGTTTAGACTTCTTCAAAACAAATTAACTAATTTTTAATTAACAATTAATTATTACTGAGGAGATAATGGTGTATTTAATTATGGCAAAGCACGCTAGGGCTATCTGCCTGAGGGGAGGGATGACTTTCGTGGAGGACTTTCTAAGGGAAACTGGCTCGTATACACGTTACACGTGGGGAAAACCACGAAAACGCCCATGCAGCCGTTCGCGGGATTCGAACCTCGGACCGAACTACCAGTGTTCAGCGTCTTTAACTCTCGGCCGCTGGTGGGCGCTGAGGAGATAAACAGTGAATGCATTTACTGTGTTCTCGTAATCGGTAATAAAATCTAAAGGTCTGTCATTTTTTGGATACTCTCTGCATCGTAAAAGAAAAGAAATCGATAATTTTTAACTTAAATGAGATAGCGAAAAATGACAAGTCAGACATATGACATTAAAATTCGAAAAATAAATATATTTTCAGAATAAACTTCTAAAAATACTGAAATTTAAATACACCACATCAAATTCCAAAGCGTAATTCATGTTGTTTCTTTCGCGCAATTTAAAAATTTTCCGAATGAGTTGCTAGAAATTTATGACTAATTCAGCTTAATTGGTCGATATGGAATACAAAAAAGTATCCAAATTTCAAAACGATACCTAATTGGCGATTTTCAACAAAATACAAATGAAAGAAGTTTTGTCATATGAATAGCATACATTATTTATTCAACAACACAATGACATACCACATTTCACATAGTTTCGAACACTATTTGTTTAAAACGCTAAGAATACCGTGCTAATCACTGCGATCAAAAAGTAACGGAAATGATTCATTTAAAATACGCGTTTTGAAAAAAATCGCGTTTTGAAATTCCTACGAATTTCATTTGGCAGCAATCCATATTTCTTTATTTTTCTCGTTTTGCACTTGAATTTGTGTTTAATGAATAAAGAAATTTTGCTGCAGCGTTTGAAAAAAAATGGCAAATGTGTTACAAAAATGTTTGAAACGTTCCAAAAAAACTTGCGCGATTTTCAAAAATTGGCGAATGCAATGAAGCAAAGGAATTGCACTGAGTATTGTTTTGGAATTTCTGCTACAAAAACAATTAAAATGTCATAAAAATATTTAAAAAATATCACTCTAAAAATCGTTTAATATGCTAAAGTAAGGCAAAGAACGCTTCAAAGATGAATCACGCTTCGGTAGTAGTCAGTAGACCATCCAACTGACACTAATGAGCAATAGATAAATCAAGGCAGAGAGGTGGTACTGAGCGATTTTTATTCAATAATTAGGGATATCACTCAGCAAGGTTTAATATCTTTTGTATCCGTTCAAGCAATTTTGAATTTTCGTGTTTGTGACGCGTTGTTGCGAATGTGACGCGTTGTTGCTCCCGCCGTTTGGTGGCTCTCCGAGCCTCTTGTCTATGATGTTATTCAATAACTTTAGTTTCTTGGAAGAGCGAAGGTGTTAAGTCTAATAGTAACGAAGGCGTTTGCCTAATAATAATGCTTGTAACCACTGTATTTTATGTAAATAAATTTGTGTATATTAATATCAAACGTGAATAATCACTGCCTCTGGGTTTATGCTCGAAGATTGGTAATGTAGTGATCAAATGAATAGTAATGAAAATAGCTATTACATGCGTGGGGTTTTTCAGTTGTTCCAAAATGTCTCATATGGAATTTACAACGTGTTAATGTAATTTAGGAGCTACTACTTTAAGATGAATCTTTAAAACATATTATCACAGTGATGAAATTAATATCTGTGCTTTACCACAGAAGCAGTTAAACGATTAAATGATTGGCGCTCGAAATGAGAACAAGGCCGGAAAGACCACATCAATGCCTGTTAAAAATCGGTTAATGTTGACTTTTTTTTTCCGACTGTTGTAATGTATAGAATGAATTTCTATCAACTTACTAAACTCTTAAAAAAGAATACTATCCGAGTGTTTTGTGGCGTTTGCGGGGAGGAACTCGAAGAAAATAACCTCATCTACAACGAATCAATCCATAAATGTCATATTATGAATACAGTCCTGCTCACTATGCTCTTGTTATTCGTCAATTTTTAACCAAAACTTAGCACGTACGGTACTGCAAGCTCAACATTCATTTGCTACGGCACCGCGTGACTTTTTGTTTCATTATTAAAAATGCCACTTCGTGGCCATCAATGAGTTCACTAATGGAATAAAAGAATACTCGTGACGAATCTTGAAGGAGTTTCAGGCAAACGACTTTAAAACATTTTCGAAGATTGGAAAACGTTGGCGTACGTCCACTGTAGTCAGAGAATATTTCTTTGAAGACAGTGTAATAGTAATATTCTAATAAACTGAAAATTTATTTTTCTATCATAGTACTGCATAGATGAAATATATTTAAAATTTAATGCAATCATATTTAAAAGATTTAACTAACTCATCCGATTAAACATGTAAAGATAAAAGTATTTGGATACGGAATTACACGACTAAGTTGACGTTTAGTAAATTAACACATCATAATCTTATTTGACTCTCTCATTCTCATCTGGATTGCTATATTATAGCTGTTAATTTACGGTTATATTTTAATTGCACCAATTAAAATATATATTGCACTAATTTGCTGCTACATTATTTTTTTAACTTGTGCAGTGAGTGATTTATTAGGTATCTTTGTTTAGATTTACTTGCTATTTTAATTTTTATGCGAAATGCACTATATAAATGCAGACGCAAGAACTTGAAAACATTTTGTTTGACATGTGTGTAGTTATTTTATAACTATAAATATAAAATATTACACAGAAATCGTGGAAAGACTAAGCAGTTGAAGGTAGGTACGGAAATTAGAAAAAAATCATACAAAATTTATATTCTGGTAATTCTTCTTGCTGGAACTCCGAAATAGCATACCTGATGAACTCTGTGACGCGGGACTTCAGTCTTCCCTTTTCTTGCCTGTTTCCTGACCGTTTCACAGAGACGCTACTTGAGTGTACACGTGATGAGCCCATGTGGCGTTATTTCAATAACCTTAATAAAACCAAAATCTTTGGCCACTTAAGCATAAGGACTCCATGAATTCGATCTATTTTGGTCTGAGATTTTATCTGTTTTATTCTATTTGCAATATTTTACTTAGAACAGGCCCACGAATGAATTATGGTCAATAGGAAGAAAGCTTCGATTGTTGACCAAGACGTTACTCCTTTACAAGAGACAGTATGACTTTGACCAGTTGCATTCCAGTTTATGATGAGCAACGTTATGGCAGCCATCACCGCTAACCATTGTTCCGATCAGGGCGGTAGAAAAGAGTTGAACGTTGTCAACTAACCCAAACAGAAATATACAAATCCCAATAAAATTATAAAAATGCTTTTCAGCGTATGCCGAGTGAAGTTTTGTTGCTTGATGAGGAAATCAGCCAGTGATCGGTTGTTGATATTAACAGTTTTCTAGGAGAGTATGTATAAAATTGAAAACTTATGGGACGTAATAAATTTGTTCATAAGCTATTGATTTTGTTTGTAAATATTTACGATTTGACTCAACAATACACTTAACTTTCATCAGACGTTTTCTCAGCTTCGCTCATGAGAATTATTAATTTAAAAGATAATTTAAACGATAATGGTACGTATAAATGGAAAATTTTGAAGCAACACATACATAAAAATAACATTATTGTGTAAAGTGACATTATCAAAAACAAGCCTTTCAGTTTTCTGCCAAACTTTAAAAGGATGATCTCTAATTATTTCAAAAAATACAAATATAATAAATATAATGTAATACAGATATGTGAGTAAGACACATACGTACTTTTAATACTTTGGTATAAATATTTACTTTTTCTGAAACAGCCAAAAATATTTATCAAGATTATCTTAAACAAACTACTTAACTTCTTTTTATCTATTAAATCGGATAAAGAATATTAATAATAATTGCAATACACTTATCCTAAATAGCTCTGCTAAAACAAATTGTGATAAGCAGGTTTCTTTTACGTTTATTCTATCAAAGGCGCAGAAATTCTGAAGCAAATGCTATTTCCTCGATTATTGACATGAAGATCCCAGAATTTTATGAATTACAAACGGTGTTATTATAATAAAGTTGCATTTCTTCAAGTTTAAACAAAGCTTAAAAGTTAAATATTTATTACTTTAACAAAGAGCTATTATGATTAATTACGTTGAAATAAACAGGAATACCAAATTAAAATAAAACAGGATATAACAACAAATAAAAGATAGTAATATTACTCTGGAACAATGTTTAAGACACTACTTTAGTTGAAATTCCAAATAATATTTTCAAAGAACGGATAAATACGTAGAAAGAGATAGAAAACAGATAGTTAAACATACAGATAGACAAAAAAAGACATATGCATAGATACAGTAAAAGAAAATGTATGCATAGGTAAACTACAGACAGAAGGAATAAATCAGTAAATTAATTAATGAGACTACGATAAAGATTAATAAATATTAGAATAAAATAGTTAGATCAATGCAATGGGGAGAACAGAATAAGTCAAAAGAATAATATACAATTTATAAGAATAAAGAAATAAGTGAGCAAGATAGAATACGCGTATTAAAAAAACGAATTACTTCTCACAAATAT